ATTTATTTTCTTGTCTGAATAACATTTTAATTTCGAATGGATATTATCAAAGATAAAGCTGAGGTAATCATTCAATAACAGAGTCTTAATCACTAAATTCAAGTTTTTTTGATGGTGTTTCGGGTGGGACAATAACATAAGAACGCTCTATCGACGAATCCAGCAATAGTGCCTCTTTTTTGGGCGAGAGGGTGCTGGGATAAAAATTGAGCTACCTTCCCACATTGTGAAAATGTTGAATGTGGGTTTATGAAACCGATCAATCTCGATGTTCTTATTAACAACTTTTAAGATCAAGTTGAGAAAATTCAACTCGCTCCCCTCCACCTCAACAGTGAATTGCAATCTAGGGTGGTACGAGTTGAACCTTCCAAGCATTTCATCAATCAATCGAGAAGGAATGGCCATTGCAATGTCATCAACATATTTATAGAAAAAAGCCAAATGCGCCCTGACAAGCACGCTCTTCTCCAAATTTCTTAATACTGTAAGAATTAGACGACCGTAAGCGGTCATGAAAAAAATTCGGAATATAAACAGCTAACAGAGAGGAGCCATCGTGATCGTGCAGACTAAGTGTCGGATTGGTAGACGAGGGATCCCGAGTTCAAATCCAGTCGGTCTCCGTTAATTTTTTCCGAATCTAATAAATATCTTTCAATACTAAATCGGCTATGATCGGAGACAATGAGGAATCCATGGGTGTTCCAAAGGTTTGCTTGTAGATTACATTGTCAAACGTAAAAAAGATAGAATTTAGGACAAACGAGACTGCATTTAAAATTTCCCCTTAGGGATGTCGCAATTCTTCGAGATGTCTCCCCAGCGCTTTGCAATACTGTCGATTGATAGATCGATAGGAACATTGGTGAACAAAGAGATCGCATCGAAAGACACAAGTGTATGGTCGTCATTCAATTGCATGCCAGACAACTCATTGGCCAGTTTAAAACTATTTTCTACATGTGTTAAAGGCTTTGGGATACTTCTTGATAGGAGTTTATTCAAGAAGGATGCCAAGTTGTACAGAGGACTATCGACAAGACAATAATTCGGAGAGAGCATCCCTATTTATGTATTTTTGGGAGCTCGTGTCTCTAAACAAGAACATTGTGCAACGCTTCAAGTAAAGGCTGGGGTTAAAGACATTATAAGAGCCACGACTCTGATCCGCCATGTTTTGGCTAAATTCTATGAGAAAGAAAGAAATATACATCACCTCACTCTAACCAATAACGTGTTTTGATAAGAGTGAAAGAAATATACACTATCTCACTTTAACTAACAGCGATAATTTTTACTTTGTATGTATATTGATTTAAGAATATTTTGTATGTGTATTAAATATGTGAAAAGCGTGATAATATATTATTAAATAATATATATTAAAAATTGCAAAATATAGTCATAAATTAATTAATTGTGATAAATCAATACAAAAAATGAATGGATGTTCATTTTTTTACTTAAATTTTATTTTATATTGTAATAAAGTTTGTTTATAATAATAATAAATATGTATAATAATCCTTTCTAGAAAAAGACATGACATTGATACTTGCATTCCTTCCAAATTTCTTCGAAATTTATTGTTGACGCTTTTCTGCGATGGATTCTCTCACTCCGCTAATTTTATGAATTGCTGTCATTGATTTCACAGAGAATCGTTTTGACAATTGTATATCAAAAAGTTAAAAATATTATAGTGTAACAGTAGTATAATAGTATTATATTAATTTTTGCTCTTGTGTTGAAAAAGATAAATAGCGAAAAAAAAGATAAATAAAAAAGATAAATAAATAAATAGTAATAAATTTAAAATCGTTAATATTAAAGGATATATATTAATAAATACAATATATTAATAAATTGGTAATATAATTATGTAAAATAAAATTTTATAAATATACACATTTTATTATCTTTAAAACGCTTATGTTTTTAAATTATAATATTACAATTTAAGATTAATGTATTTGAAAATAAGTGGGAATAGCCAAAAAATGGTGGATCAATCAAAAGTTGCTTGCTTTTCGTGAGTCTCTTATTATGCGTTCTGATATTCACTGCCAGTACTGAAAATCTATAATATACGTGACCTGATCTATATATTTTCAGTACTGGCTGGTGAATATCGGAACGCAGCCTATAATGTTCTCTATTCTTGTTCATCAAGAAACAAGATTGTCGCCCGTGAGTCAATAGTCTGTTATAGATAGAGATATAGATTATTTGGTATACTTTTTAAGTTAGCTCGGCAAGTTTAGAAAGTTAAACTTTATCAAGCCTTCATAAAATAATCATTATAATAATAATAATAATAAACGAATTATGGATATACAAACAATAAATACTCGAAGAAAGATATTGAATCAAGTAATTTGCAGCATTTTAGTAGAGTGTGGTTATGATATATGTGAGAAACAAGTACTAGAAACGCTTACTGAGATGTTACAATCACGTAAGAATTAAATTTAAACTTTTTAAAATAACTAATCTAAAATTTTATGTAAATTCTATTTGTGCTATATAATTTTATCTACAAGTAAATTAAAGTCACCTATCATTCAGCAACCAAGGTTTCAAGAAAAAAAATAAATTCGACTCTTTAAAATATTCTGTTTAAAAAAAAGAAATATTGATAAGTTTAAATTGAATATTATATATAAAAAATAATTTCAACATTTATATGAAATTTATCTAGAAAAAGAAAAAAATTTGATCAAGTATTAAGAAAATTGTAAAAGAATTATAAAAGAAAGATATTACTAGGGTTTAAATATTATATTATTATCATTTATTTATGTGAAATATTTAAAATATTAATATATTATAGTTTGACTATAATTAAAATTTTTATAATACATAAATTTTTTAAATAAAACTTTTATTGTATAATTTATTTTATATTTATCAATTTGTTATTAATTATATTATTTATATATTAGTTATATATTAGTTATATATTAGTTATGCTATTTATTATACTATTCTCATGAAAAGAAAGTTAAATTTTATATTAAAATATAAACTCTAACTTGCTTAAGTTTTTACTTTTTATAATTAGATCTTAAAGAAATAATTTTAAATTAAAAAATAATTCGATATAAAATATCTTGTATTCTTTTTATATATGGATTATAGTTATCATAGAAGTTGGAGCTTCAGGGAGAAATTACTGTGAACTTTCTGGAAGAACAGAACCTCTTATAGCAGATGTGATATTGGCATTAATTAATATGGGCATAAAATTAGATAACATAGAGACTTATGCAAAACGACAAAATAGAACAATCTTGCCAGTGCTTCAACAACAGACACAAGCAAAACAATTAAATATCTTACAAGCTGGTGTTAAGCAAAGCCATCCATCGCATATACCAAATTATTTACCAGCGTTTCCTGATCCACATGCATATATTAGAACTCCGGTAAATATTTATTGATTATAAATATTTAAAAATTATTATATTTAAATATAATATATATATAATAAAAATTATTATATTTAAATATATATATATATATCATATCATATATACATACATACAAATATAATAATTTTATTTTTAAAAATAAGATAAGAAGAGAGTTACAATATACATAAAATTAATAATAAAACTAATAACTTTAATAATGAAAATGCTATAGACACATAAGCAACCAGTAACAGAATATGAAGCAATCAGAGAAAAGGTAGCAACTCAGAAACGAGATATCGAAAGAGCTTTAACAAGATTTATTGCCAAAACAGGAGAAACACATAGTTTATTCCTCACAGAAGATAACAGCATGTTTCCTTGTAAAGAGATATTTCTTATATTCAATAAATATTTTAATGAAGCAATAATGCAAAAATGTTTATATGTATAACACTGTTTTATATATATATATATATATATATATATATATATTTCGTTT